TATCCACCACTATTCTCTATAACTTGCTTATTCCAAGAAGCTATCCATTTACCTTCTTTCATTTTGTTCTTGCCATATTAACCTTACCAAGAAAGATAAATAATTTGGTCCATATTATTAAACATTTCTGAATTCTCACGGACATCACCAACTTATACTCTTTATTTTATTTTAGAAATTAATTTACATTCTCAAGATTCTTCTATTTTCTTAATAGATAATTTATTGGTCTTAAGTGAATTGGATTTGAATTTTTGTTTTCTCAACTCTCTATTTATTTTTGTTATAATAGTCAACTTTTTTTTCCTATTATTTCTAAATAGTTTTTTATGGTATCCTTTAAGGATTCTCATTAAAAAAATCCATTTTTTTAAATTAATTATTAATTCTTATATTCAATTATATATTTTATAAAATTTTTAATTTATTAAAAACTATAAGAAACATCCTTAGTACCTTTTGAAAAAACTTATAGTTCATGTATTGAAAACATCTCAAAAAAAAATAATTTCAAATTTTCAAAATACAGATACAAAATTAATAAAAGTATTTAATTTATATGATAATGCATAGTATTAAAAATAGAAATAACTTATGAAATACTAAAATGAAAAATTTTTGAGAGACTTTTATATAACTAACAAAAAAGAATTGTATTTTTTGATGAAAGTAGATATGAATGTTAAAATCGAATTGACCAAAGTTAATTAAATCATATATTCAAAAATAAAGTACTCTTGAGGAATTTAATATTATTTAAATTTAAAATAAGTTCTTTACCCTCAAAAATGCAGAAATATTTAATAAAATAGATAAAATTGAGTTAAGAAGGGGTTTTAGATGCACAGCTTTCAATTACAATAGACAATATGAGCTATAAAAATAGTAATTTTTGCACAGTATGTTGATAATGACCAAAGATAAATTATTTTTGGTTCCTATTTCATGTATATTGCTCTTTTTATTTGGTCTCTTTTTTGTATAAAATTCATAGTAATTGTATCTTTGTAAATAATTAGCAAATAAACTTAATAAATGGATACGATTCTATTTTGTAAGTATGAAATAATTTTTATTACAGTAATAGTATTGCTTTATGTTATTTTTGAAAAACTGTAGTCATTTGAGTTCCTTCACCACCAAATTAATGGGCTCTTCATCTAAAATCTTCAGTTATATTGTATCATTCTAGAGTACTCTCTTCACCACCCTTTCTTGTCCAGTATTATTTATTGTAAATCTTTTATCCTTGACCTACTAATCTTTGGAGACAAATCCTGAGTCCGTTACTATTACCATAGAGTCTATTGCATGATACCTTGCTCCCAAAACTCCAAATCCAGCTAAAGTTGTCCTTATCCCATCTCCCCCTCTATGTCATAGAATTACTCTATCCTTACCGATTCTTAGAATATTGATCTCCCTCTTTCTACATTTATTGGTTAAGTCATATTGGTTTTTGATAATCACCATTTTATTTCAAAAAGTTATTTATTTAGCAAGTTTCTTGTTATTTTTAAAGGGAGCAATGGTTAATCTACAGAATTAAAATCAGAGAAGTAAATAGACTAAGTAGCACTTAATTTTGATTGAAAATATTTTAAAATCAAACATGAAATCTTAAGATAATATTGATATAGGCCTTTAAATTTGATATTATCTAATTCTTACTCAATTATAATAAGAATAATTGATATAATTTTGAAATATTCTATTATTTATTTATTTTATTGTGTTTAAGTTGATATACTAAATCAAGAATACCATTACTAATTTGTAATTATTTTCTAACTTCTTTATAATTAAAATAAAAACAATTATTTTCAGATTATTAATTTGAAAAATAATAAATTATAAATCTTTAGATGTCATTTAGAAAGTAAATTAAAGTGTCTCA